GGAGAAGGACCAGGACCAGGAGCAGCGCTTCCAGCACCAGCAGGACAGGCTGGAGGAGCAGGACCACGACCACGAAAGGGAGGAATTCCCGTAGCTATGCCGCCTTCACCAACAATGGTAAACGTCAGTCCACATGGAGAGCAAGGACGAAGGGCCTGGGACTATTATCGGCAGATGCGTACTTAGGCTGAAATTTGGTAGTTTTGGTGAACACACCATATATATATATATATATAGAGATAGATAGACATAGCTAAGACCCTGCGCCCTAAAATCCTGTGCGATTGTGACATCCAGGTGACATTTTTGAGAACTTGGATTTCGACACGTTCCTGGACCATGCAAGGAAGATCCACAGGTGGAGAAGGAGAAGCTTCGCAACGTGCACCACAACACCCAAAGGACCTTGCTACCGGATCTTGGGAACAAGGGACTGAAGATGGTGCTGATCCTGGTATGCCCTCACTTTATGAGGGAGAAGGCGTTGTCCAAGGACGCCAAGTGCGGCAGATTGTTCGAGGCGATGATGGTTGCACTCCTGGACGAGGACCTTGGGAAGTTTGCTTGGCTCTTTTACGAATTGAGCTCGCTGGTTGAGGACCCGAAACTTGTTCACATAACCCTGTACAAGAATCGTGTGTGTTTAGCGATTTCCCTATGTGTCTTTTGCATGTGTGCCTTTGGCAGGAAGTCTGGGAACTGCAGTATATGAACATGGCAACCATCCAGCAAGCCGTTGTGAACCACTGCCGGAACCATTGACGGATGTACAGGAGACGGATGTACAGGATAAGGATNNGCATGCAGTGTTTCTTCGTGCCTGGATGGGCATGTATTCGGAACATATGTGTGTTTTGAAGTTTCCTTTTGTCTTACAGGACACAGCGGCGAACAGTGGCACCAGACCAAGCGCGACCATCCGGAGCAGCTCAAATCGCCCATGAGGGTGGTTATGTTCCAGCACCTGTTGGAATCCGTGCTGACCGAGTTCATGGCCATGATGGACAGCCCCTCGTCCCGATCGTCGGCTCAGAATCAGGACTTGCTGCTTCCGAACGGGAGAAGTCGGACCCAGCCTCTCGCCAACATGTGAGGGACGAGACACTGGAAACAGTGGAGGCCGAGGATGTCAAGATTGCCCTGGAGGAGCTCGTGGTACTATGCACCAAGGACCTCGTGGTGACCAGGTTTCATGGGATGCGGAAGCTCACTCTTCTTGCATCCCCGACACTGGGAATGCTCCTCGAGGTAGGCCTCAGGACGCCCGAGGCTCAGGCGACCTGGAACCACCTGTATCGTGTTCGACAGTCGTCAGCATGGAAGTTCGCAGGAGTTTTCATTCGCACGCACAAAACGCCTCCAAATGAGCGCTCTGGCCAAGAAGCTCTCCATCGCGCTGAGTGTCGCATTAGTCCTGGGCACGCGGCTTGGCAACAACAAAAACTATTCTTATGCCAGGTCGGTCCTTCGTGCCTTGTTATTCTTATCAAGCATCTGCCCGCATGCCCCTAGCGGGCACATCTCTCATGCTCGCTATGCCGAGTTCCTGCAGCGATTGGTGAGCAGATCAAACCAAGTCACCACTCATCTCTGGGCACATCCGGTTTGGCTTGCCCTCATGCAGGGCTGGAGAGACGTCTAATCTAGGCAACATGATGCTGCTGAGTTCTTGCAATTTGTTGTCGGGGTCCCAAGGTTCATCGTCCCTGCATCGAGTTTGTCTGGCAAGCCAGAAATCCAACCGGGGATGGACTTCAAATCCTAGATAGGAGGAAATCTGCTCCTCTTCTCCTGCCGTCCCCTGGTAGCGTTGAGGAGGATTGGTTTTGCAGTATTTCAGTCCAAGGGCTGGTCGACAGATGGCATCAACAGGAGCAGATACATTCTCTGACAGCTCCGTCCCTTGCTGTTGCTTCGCAGCTTTGTAAGCTTCATTTTGAGGCTGGGAGTGCAAGGGCAATCAAGAGGCGTTTCAGTCTGATGCTTGATCATGTCATTGAGATCCCGGTGTTTACTGGACCGCTTCAGTGCACTCGCCAGCTGTATCGTCTGAGCTCGGTGCTCATACATCTGGGCGACACCCCAGATAGTGGTCATTACCAGAACATTTTCTGCAGAAGCGACAACCTTGAGTTCTTCATTGGTGATGATGACACATCTGCTCTTCCGATGGACGGAAGAGCAGTGTCGAAATACGGTCGTGACATGTATATTCTTGTCTATTCCATCATGTAATGGTCGTCCTGCTTTCGGGTACACGTACCGGGGACAAACAGCTTCTCGGTTGGGTGGAGGATATGCAACATGCATAGCATCGCTGGGTTTGAAAAACCTGTCCTCCTTCATTCGTAGCAAGTGACACGGAGTATGTATGTGATATCTATCTATATATATATATAGATATAGATATAGATATATATCGTCTTTATCCACAACCCATGTTTGACGCCGATATTTCTAGAATTTCAGCATGCCAGATTTGCGCACCCTAGTAATTCCAGAATCCCATGTTTGCCGATCCCAATAACTCCAAAATTCCAGGTTTGCGGGCCCCAATAAACCCAGACTTCCGAAACTGGAATTGTTTCGAGCATTGAAAATCTGGAATTCTGGAATAGTTCGGCCTTGTAAACCTGCTATTCTGGAATTCATTCCGATTTGCAAATCTGAAATAGGCCCTGTAAATCTGGATTTGTGGAGGTCTGGAATTATTCCAGATTTGGAAATCAGGAATTCTGGAATAATTAGTTATTAGCTTTCGCAAATCTGGAATATTTAGATTTGTTATTTGTTGCGTCAACCCGGCAAATCTCGAATTTTGGAATTAATATCCAGATCGGAAAAGCTGGTGTTCTGGATTTCTGTAATAATTACTTAGACCGTGCAAATGTGGAATTCTGGAATTAAGCTTGTCAAATCTGGAATTTTGGAATGGTTTTAGATTTCTTGTCCTGTAGACTAAATGAAACAGCTCTGTTTGGAGCCAGCGCGCGGCGAGCCAAATACACGACTGAAGTCATGATGTCAAATCGCAATGTGTCATGACTGCTGCATCCGGACAACAGCAATATGCGTTTACATTCCCCGTGAATAGAACCGTGTAGCTTTCCGCACATATCCCTGTAGCAACATGAGTCTCGCATGATTGTCTTCTCGATGACACCATGATCAGAATCTCCACATCTGGGATGACTAGGCCCTTCAAATCTTGGAATTCGGGAACTACTTCAGATTTGGTCATCTGGAATTTTGGAATGGTTAAGCTTTCAAACGTGGACTTTTGGAACCTTTTCAGTGGGACGGACTCATCCCACCATATTCGATATTAAATGCTGTTTCCGACATGATGAAGCTACACTAACTACACGTCAGCATCCACATTTCCGTATAAGTCCCGGCCCTGGTTCTTTGCGCGCATGCATTTCGTATATGATGAGGAGGAGTACTATGATAAGTCGCGCGTGGGATTCAGCCAGGATGCTCGCCTTCGAAGCAACCCTCGAGTTACAAAGTAAAGAGGCACAGGGCACAAAGCGCTCCCTTGGGTCAAACATCTGCGAGTAGAACAGCCAGTATGCCGCCACTACCATGCATCGTCGTCAGCGTCTGCTCTCCAACTTGAGCCGTCTGAGAAGCCTTGGTCGAGTTTGGATGTACGCTCTTTGACTTTTCACGCTGCTTCGTGGCCTCAATCGCCAGGAGACCCGGCCTTTGAACGAGGCACCCTCACCGTTGGAGTAATTACCTGACTTTGCCGCAGCTGGAGCTGTGGAGGTGCTAGATCTCTACATCTACGATGTCTGCTTTGGTTTCTGCGAATCGGCTGCATACGGCCTGGAGAACGAGGTGCGACAGTCTGCAACAGTCTGCGGCCTGCGATCAGAGCCGGTCTGAGGTGGAGCTGGAGTTGGACCTTCAGAGCGGCTCGGAGCGACCAGGCTCCGGCGCAAAGCGCGTAGGCTGTTTCTGAGCTCTGCCTGTCTCGTGCGAGGCTCTCCATACGCCCTGCTTGACTTGCCTCCTCCGCTGCTGCGGGTGGCGCGGTATTTCAGGCCCCATCCGCGCCTCCGCCCCACATGGTGAGCCTCGCATACTTCGGACACTGGGAGGCGAGCCTTTGTGGTGCCCTTCTTCGAGGCCTTTGCCTTTTGGTGGCCGCACGGTGCCGTGCGGAACGAACCTCTGAAGACTCTGATACGCGTCTGCATTGCATGCGTTTTGGAAGGAGATGGCTACTGGCGAGGTGGCTCCAAACTTGCACCACGTGGCACGCCACTACGACGATCTTCCAGCCCCTTGTCTGTAAGGGACGCTGGACGTTTGTTTTTCGTGGCTTAGAGACCATGGCCGCTTGAGGATTTTATGATGATTCTCCACCCGGATGCCTATGAGCACATCCCGATCTTGTCCTTCGTGGCGTTGCTCAACTCCCTGGCGCTGAGGCTAGAAGAGCACGTAGTAACGCGAAGGAACACTGAGCAAGCCGTTTTCTCTTCAGGCTCTTTCCTGACGTGGGCTTTTTGCACCTGGGCCGACGGTTCAATGGGCCAGTCGACGCGTCGCAGCCCGAAGCGTCTCAGAGAGTTGAATCAGCTCGAAGAATGTTTTATCCGCCCAACATACCTCACTAAAGAGAAGTGCCAGGTCAGGACGTGTGGGCAGTGAGATCCAGAGCTACTGCCGGATGCGTGCTCCCAGCAAGGCACGGAGGACGGAGGACGGAGAGCAGAGCTGAAAGCGGCTTGGCTCTCCTATTCTGCTCGCACAGGGCTCGGCGGCCAGGCGTTCCGTCTTTCGAGGTGGGGGGCAGTGCGGGGATTGCAGCAGGGTGTGGATGTGATGTGGCATGCTTTACCTCGCCGGCGCAGGGGATTCCTTCCTCGAGCGATACACGATGCGGACACCCTCAGGTCTCCGCAGCTCGTGGGCTCGTGGGGGGGAAGAAAGCTGCTTGCAGAGCGCGCGGCGCAGGTCGCTACTGTCAGTGGGTCGAAGTCGCCTGGGAGCTCCTGTTCGACCGTCCTCCAAAGCTTCCCGAGGCCTCCGAGAAATCGCGAATGTTGTCGGCAATTGCCGCAAAGCGAGCGAGGACGACTACGGTGGCTACGACTTTGCGCAGTACATCGCAAGCCGGCGAGCCGCAGAGAGCAGGCCGAAGGCCTGGCATGGCCTGGCACCTGCTACGTCTTCTCTCAGGGTGTTTTAAGTGTTTCGGGCTTAATTAGGGCATCTGGGGGCATCTGGGCGCGCGCACGCGTGTGGAGCTTTCAGTCGCTTGCAGGCTTTCTGGCAAAACGCTTGGCGCTCTCTCTGCAGCCAGCGTCTCACTTCTGGTTTGCGTCGGCTGCACTTCGGCTTCAGAAGACTTGAAGGTGCCAGCAACTACCAGCTGCTGCTTGGAACCAAGTTTATTTCTTGGAAGGAGCTGGGTGGCAGTTTGATCCTTGTGTCATCCCGTGTAAGCAGTGACAGTGGCTCCTCCGCCCGCAGGAGATCACTTCCACAGAAGGAAAGCGCAGGCTCTATAAGTTTCACAAGGCCCGTTCACTTCTACTCTCTGCCCTCTCCGCTTCGCACGGGCCGCGCTGCAGGGCCTGACCACGGCCTTCGAGCATTTGTATCACGTGATCTTCAACCCGAGAGCCGGAAGCCCCAACGCAGGGTGGTCGAGCGGAGCAAGCGCGCGCGTGCGCGCGGGGGCGGCGCTCTCCGTAGGCCAAGACCTGGCGGTGGCCGACCCGGCCGCGCAATCCGTCGCTTCCGCTGGGCCTGAAGCTCACGAAGGGCGGACTCGGAGTGGGCAACCTGGGACAGCACCGCCCTTACGGCCTCGCGGTCTGAGTCTCTGAGTCTCTCTAAACCCTAAACGGTCTGCTTGACTCAGGCTCCGGGAATACCGCTGGGCGCCACATCAGCCACTCTAGCCCAGAGCTCCAGACTTGAGGTCAAAAGCGGGGATCCAAGCATGCGAGCATGCTTCACTGGTGCGGAGCCGTCCCTTTTGCATGACGTGGCAAAGCCCCAACACAGCTATGCCAGGTGATTGCTGGTTCGAGTCACAACCAAAATCATCGTAAGTGTAATGCTGGCTGACGTTCTGAAGTGCTATCTGCTCGTACCACAAAGGAACCAAACCCCCCAAAAAAGAGGCACTTCCGGCACAACAAGTATACCTACCGGAAGGAAAAAGTAGGATTGTTGGTGCGGCTTGGCGTAGTCGTGACGAGGCAGAAATGGTGACGCGATCTGGTATGTGGCAATGTGTGAGGTGTCGTTTTGCGTCGCCCCACGTCTGTGTGCCTGGGGTTCACAGCAGCACAAACTTATGGCTTTTTCACATTATGACGTCTCCACATCCCTGTGGCACCAGGACATAGAAGCAGTGGAGAGCGTGATCTCAGCCCCTTCTGGGCCGTGCTGCTACCTCGCCGTCGCGTCGTGTTGTAATTTGGAGGCTCCCAGCCCAACAGAGCTCTAACCATGGACCGATCCTAGCTGCTTAGCTGGCTTAGCTTGTTCGCGGAAGGCATCAGACGGAACGTCGCTGTTGCTTTGCCAGTGTGGGTTGCAGCCATAGAGTGTGTCGTCGCCACAGCATATTGGTCAATTCGCAGCTGAGGGCGTGATGTCAGCCTCGTCTTCATGCGATGTCGTGTCCGTCCTGTCGCGCTCTCGTGTCCTGACAGGGTCCTGGACTTCACATGCGTCGTGTCTAGCACAAGCTGAATCAGATCATGTTTTACTTCCAGGAGTCAGTGCCAGTATTCCTGTCTGTTGCTTCGGCTCTGGTGCAAACCAGTCTTGATTGGTCTAAGAATTCCCGCAACCTTGTGTGGCTTGCTCCTCGAAATCCCACAGCACAGCCTCAGCAGCCCTGAAGAAACTGTCGTGGTTGCCGCCCTCTGTCGCCATGGTTCGAGGCCATTGCTGGGCAACTTTGTTCAAGCTATGCCGCCGTTGGTTTCTACCCTGCACATATGTAAATAAATACAAATATAAAGCATAAATAAATAGATAGATAGATAGATAAATCTATATACATACATGTATATGTGTCTGCCGCTGTTCTTGAGCTTTAGCTATCTCCGCACTCCAGAAAAGCATCGCCTGCAAAAATGGCTTTTACACGGGGGAACAGGAAGAAGAGACGGACTCCGGGACAGTTCTGCCAATCGGCTTTCAAGGCTAGCACCAGACCCACTAGACCTGGCCTTGCAGAGACGAATTTCGAGGTTTTGAGGCTGCCAGCTCCAAAAGGGAGAATTTTTAACTGGCCCCCTGCCCCTGTCCGGTATCGTTCATAGAGTACAGAGTTGGGGACGGCGTAGGCGAGAACCGTGGATTTCGGTCAAGAAGCCGGGCTGCTCCTCTGGGCAGGTTTGGAAGCATGAGCAGCAAAAGTCAGACGCAGACGGCGGAAGGCGACTTTCAAGCGCTGCGAGGGCTTTTTTCGGAGCAGGGACAGGATGTTGCAACCGTGATTTACATGCGGCCACTGGCGAGGTGTGGCGTGGCCCTAGAGTTGGCGGGGAGAGGCCTCGGCTTCCGCCCGTCCGCTGAGAGTCCGTAGAGTCCGTATATCTTTCAGAGCACGTCAGAATAGAGGCCAGGTTTCAGCAGGTACGGGATGACCTCGGACGAAACGCTGGAGCCAGGCTGCAGTGACTGCTGCAGCGACTGATGGCTGTTCAATTTAGCCAGCGCAGACCGTTTGCCCAAGACTGAAGCGAGCCTGCAGGCTTCCTTCTAATGGTCGGCATCACGGCACGGCGTTTGCACCTGCGTGGCTGCAGGGGCCCCTGGCACAGTGGTGCAGGTATGAGGATGTTCGGATCCTGGGTGGGGGATGTGTTCAGACTTAGCAGGTAATTCGGGCGGACCCGCCCACCAGCGGCGTAATTACCCGAGTTGGAAGGGGGTGATGGCTTCGCCGATTCTTCCTGTTGCCGGGATTGGTCCTACCCCTTCCCCTGGTCGGTGATCATGCCATTCAGCTCGTTTGGCGGCGTAGGTCTGCATCCATGTGTGCCTCATTATGCCGTATGTTGCACTTCAAGCATGGTATCTTGCCAAGAATGGTACGCGCCCCATGCCATCTTTCTGCCGTCTAGGATCAGAAGCACTTCTTACCAGAGAGGCAAAGCTGTTGAAGGCTGGTGGGATCGAAGCTGGTATGATGAATCTAGCTTCGATCCGCTCGGATAGGAGCTCATGCCGATCTGACCCGAACTTTGTAATCGACCTGCATCGCCCATGTCCTGTGAAAAAAGTCCTGCCTACGGGTTAGTGGCAAAGGACGCGGTGGCAGCTCAAGGTGTTTTTCAATTGAGCAGCGACGTGACGACAAACTTGGGGCTTGAAGCGCCATCTTTGTGCAGCCTTCCAAGTTCGTTCTCTCTCTCTCTCTCTCTNNCTCTCTCTCGCTCTCTCTCTCTGCTTGCATAAGTGAGGCTGATGTGCACAGATGATGGGCTGAAGACAGCGGCTCTGACGCTTGGATGCCATTCTGCACTGCTGGCTCTCAGAGTAGTGTACGAGATTGGAACTTATACCAGGATTCGCAGTCGACATGAAGCAAAGCTG